ATGGAAGTTGACCTGCTGGAGACAGACTGTCACGTGTTGGACCCGCTGCCTCTTGCCAACTGCACAGTCAGGCCCAAAGTACAGACGGTGAGACGCAGAAGCTCTCAGGCTTCGACTCCTGTAATTCAGTCGATATTAGTTCTGATCAACCTACTTTGATTCTTCGTTCTCTTCCAGGCGGTAGAAGGAGACTGTGATGTGGTGCTGAAGAAGGTTGGCGGTGTTCTGAAGGTCATTGCATTCAAGTGCAAATCAGAGGGTAAAGATCACAGATGCTGCTCTCATCCAAATGATTACAAAGAACAAACCACAGCAGTGTCCATACATACTGCATGTGTCAATAACCTGTATGTGACTTTCCTGCTCGACTTGTAGTATCCACAGAGGATTTGTGTTTGGGCTGCCCCAGCCTCCTTCCCCTCAATAACACCGATGCGCTGGATTTTGTCCATGCCTCTCTGACAACCTTCAACAACATGACTGTGAACACGACACACGTTCTTCTCGAGGTTGGAAGGTTGTCATCACAGGTCAGACAGTCAGGATACTTTTTACTAGATGTAACACAGCTGCATGCTTTAACCTGCAGCTTTCAGTTCATCAGTGCTGTTTAATACTCTCAGGTTGTGTCTGGTGGGCCCATCTTCATAACAGAATATGTGGTTGTTGAGGGAAACTGCACCGAGGTTCCCTGCGTGCCTCTCAACGATGCCATGGCTGTGAGTACACAGTAGTAAAAGCACTCAGTTTGTTTTCAGGCCTGTTGATCTGATCTGAGATGGAGAAATGTTCAATCAGGTCACCAGATGTTGAAAATGAACAAAACTGAGAGCTGTGCCTCTCTCTCCAGGCTCGTGGGATTTGTACAGCCAAAGGTACAATCGCCCAGCACAGTGTGGACTGCAAGATGTTCTCCACTCTGGTAAAATACTGCATCTGACTTCTAATATGTTCTGATTCATGAAGACAAAACAACATTCACCATCTAACGTTCACACAGAAAACATTAAGAACTGTTTTTTCTCTCACTGATGTCATTTTTTTTAGATTCCCATTGTAGATGCCAACAGCACTGCAGCTGCAGCACATGAACCACTACCGCCAGTGGTTCATGTGCACACACACGGCCTGTCACACAAGCACGGCCACAGCCACCACAAACTGACGGCTCTCCACAACCCCCATCAAAACGTCCTGTTATCTGCAGAGTCAGCAGAATCAGATGAAGTTGTACCTGTCGTCCCTGCTGCTGCTGCTCCAGCTGCAGATCCAGCTCCAGCTGCAGACCCTGCTCTCGCTGCAGATCCTGCTCCAGCTGCAGATCCAGCTCCAGCTGCAGATTATGACTCAGCTGGAGAATCTTTATGGAGTAAGGGCCAACCTCCTCACTTCAGGAAGAGAGATGTATCTGCTGCAGCTGCTGCTGTGGTTGATGCTCCTGCTGTTCAAACAGGACCAGTTACTCCCGTGCCAGTCTGCCCAGGAAGAGTCAGATTCTTCTAAGTGTCCAAGTCTCACAGACTCTATACTTGCTTTCATTTGTAGCAGAGCACCTTTGATATGTGAGCCATGTCCAGTAGTAGCAGTAGGAATAATTTGTTTTAAACTGTCAAATCAGACAATCATCTGTGTAAAACTGAATGTCATGCTGATCATTAAATCTTCAGTCAGTGTGTTTAGAAATCAAAACAATCGACTATGTCAGTACATTTACAGGCCTAGTGAGCACACTTATATGTACCATGATGCATTCAGTCATCCCTGCAAAGTCTTTCAGAACAAGTGCAGAAGTTTACAGTGCATTCAATCCTGCTGTGAACCCGCTGACACTTCTCATACAGTCATGGAAGAAGAACATACACACACACACACACACACACACGCTTTTTAAAGATTTCATTACACAGTATATTTTACTGACAAACATTGTGTGCTAAAACAAATGAGAGCAGTGGAACACTTGATTTTCAAGTTCACCACACAAGCACTCATCCACCCACCCCCAGGCAACTGTTTATGAATGGGCAAATTCCATTTATTGCATTTACGAGAACGGATCAATGCATATCATGCTAAAGCACAAACAAGCTGGACAAACAGGTTCAAAAAAGGCTGTGTACCTTCCAAGTGTAAGAAGCGGATATTATGGCCCCACTGGGTAAACTGATTGCAAAAGCAGCCAAACAGAGGTCGTCCGTCACGACCTACGTCACAGCAGATATGAATTCTATGCCCTTCTGCCCAACACACACTCCAGAAAAAAAAAAGTTCAAAGCACACGTTTTGGGTAGTTGCACTATTTATTCACATTGCTAGAAATTGCTGCTTTCATGCTTCCAACTTCAATGCTTCTTCTGAAGGAGTTCAAGAGACATTCGTATGAGTCCAAACAACAAGGGTAAGGAGTTCAACACCTGCCTCAGCTACACACTACCACCGGCTTAGTGATCAGCTTCTCAGCCCCATCCTTGAAACATCTTTTGAGCATTATGGGGTGGAAACCTGTTGCTGGAGCCTAAAGGAGTCGAGAAGTCTTTAAAGGATTCGTGGAATTTTAGCTTTAACTGTGCTGCACCTAAAGGTGGCTTGTAGAGGGGAAATATAAGTGGAGGGCCATCCGTAGTAGGAGAAAGGAATGGCAGACCGGAATTGTTAATGTCATCATTATCCTCATTTTCATTTTCATTATCATCATCATCATCATGGTTAGCATTACCAGGCGAGGGAGTGGGAATACCTTCCTCAAGCCACTTGGAGAGTTGTTCATTTCCCTGCAGGGGCTTAAAATTCAGTGGAGTCTGATGTTTACCATTCTGCTCTTTTGCAAGATTTTGGGTCATAAAATTTAAATCAACAGTCGGATCTCTGTAAAGCTCAGAGGAATCCACGAAGCTGTTGGGCTCCCTGCCTGGTGGTTCACGCTGTAGCAGCACATAATTCCCAGAATAGAAATTTAGAGTCTGCTCATGTTTGGAGTTTGAGTCACTTATGAATGGTTTTAAATTGTTCGGGAACACAGAGTTGTTATAAGTGGATACAGGAGCGTGCTGAAGCCTATCGAAAGGAACCATAAAATGATCAAGTTCCTCTCCAGGTGATTTATTGTGTTGCTGCTGTGAATTTGGGTTGTTAGACATAAAATTAGGCCACGTTGGACGGCTCAAGTTCCCAGTCAATAGTTGACCGTTTACCTGCACTGGGGACTTAATGTTATTCAGCTGATATCGCCCTGCTGGGTCATAACCTGAAGGCAGAGGTTCTGAGGATTGGCTGTGTAGATACGGCCAGCGGGCATGCAGTGAATTAGGTGCGGGGTTCACGCGGTTCAGTGGTTCATGATTTGCAGTCCAACTTGGATCATTTCCTCGCGGTGTAGTATGGTTGCCATCTGGTGGCTGTAAATATAATTGCTCCACATTTTGAGCTGGAAAGGGGTGCAGTGAGAGGGGCACAGAGGTGTAAGATGAGGCAGATTGTGCTGCTTCAGTCGGCTGTTGAGGAAGTCTTGCAGAACCCACGCCAAACTCAAAATATGAAGCTGTAGGTGGAAATGAAAGATCTGGAAAAAAGTGAGGCACATCTGCATAACTGCCAACTCTAGCTGGAGTAATATGGAGAAGCTGATAAAAAGTCATTTGTGTACAGCAGTTAGACAAGGAGCACACAGGTTGCATATATGCAGAGCTGAGCTGAGGATCTTGCGGGGCTGTATAACTATTGACAGTTATTGGAATTGCAGATTCAGGATGTTTTTGGTCACTGGGTTTAGCAGCACCCTGTGGCTGCAAATAGGTAGCAGAGGGTAATGTCACAGGCTGTAGCAGCTGGAGCTGCTGTGGGTAATAGAGCTGGTTAAGTAGGTGATGCATCTGACCCTGTGGATATCTGAGAAGAGGTGGTGTGCTTTGGACTGGATTTTCCTCATTTGTTCCAGCTGGTGTCTCAGATATTTGACAAAGTTTGTGCACTTGTCCCAAAAGACTTTCAGCTGCTGATGCCAAAGCAGCATTTGGATTTCTGGCAGGCTGATTTTCAGGGCACAAGTACATTTGCTGGTGTACCTGACGCTGAGGGGCTTCAGGCTGTGGTGGCTGAGGAACAGTGGAGGGGTTTGTAGCAGGCTGTACTTCGGGCTTTGGTTGGGGGTAGAAGTGATAGAGTTGGGAAAGTTGGTTCTGTGCTTTGGGTTCTGCTTCCTCTGATTTTTCAGGTATTTTGTGATATGGTGGATGATCTTCAGATGCTGAAGGCTGCGAGTAAAAAGAAAATGAATATGGGGGTTTCTTGTCTTGGCTCGCAGGAGGTTCCTGAAGGAGACTAGGCCGTGGGTTGATTGGGCTGGGAAGCAAATGTTCTTCAAACTGACCTGCTGGTGGTTTAGTTATTAGTGACAGTGTAGGGGCACGTGGCTGAGAATAAAAAGGGGAAAAATGTTGCCATCTTTTCCCTGCATCAGTTTGGACAACTGGAGATGAAGCAGGTCTAGGATTCACTGCAGGTGCAGCAGGTGTATTGACCAGACTTGCAGAGTAAAAGAAAGTGGGGTGGAAAGGACGATCCGTATATTCTGGCCACTGATTCAGCATATCTGAGTTCTGAGGAAGAACCGCTTGATGAGGATCATGAGGAAAAGTCGACGCATGCACACCTTTGCTCGGTGTTTCATTTTGCCAATCGGGATCCTTTGCCGGGTTTTCTGTGAATTCAGGCTGAGCTGGTAATTGTGATGGACAGGAAATTGTTGCTTCTCCATCTCCAGCAACTTCCAGAGTATACAACCCATCCTGAACAGAAATACAAGTTATCTTTCTTCCTAAGAAAGGGAGAAAAATCAAAAACATGCACAACACACCTTTTTCTCTAGGCAGGGCACATAATGAACAGAGATGACCACACCTTCAGGATGTTCGACTGTGCTGAAGCCACATCTGTTTGAGGCCACGGTTAGTGACTCCCATTTACCGTTCACTGCAAAATAAACGGCAGGCAGGAACTCACCTTAGGTTTCCTACTCCTAAAGTCATCTTTTGGCAAACTAAGCTATCATTTAGAAAATATAGAAAGCCATATAGAAAGTTAAAAAGTTTAGACAAAAAACAAAACACGCACACTGGAGTTTGGACCATCAGTTAACTTTAAGAGAATCTAAAATACATGAAATTAAGTGGTTGTCATAGTCACACAGGGTTTGGAAAAAGTATTTGTAGGCCAGTTTAGCCAACATGTCATGTCTTTAGTGCTGGGCTGGTTTAAAAACAAAAACAGAGACATGATGAGGACCAAAAACTCACACTTAACTTTAATATTGGAGACGGGCAGGGTCCACTCTGTTTTTACAAGCATATCCGCAGTATTGCAGGTGACCATCGGAGGATTCAGTGACAGCGAGCCCATGAAAGGGCACGACATCCTCACTGGTATGCCCCACCAAAGCAGTGGGAGAACATAAGTGTCCTCCTGAAAGCAGCAAGGAAGCTATTACGGTATACATAAGCACGTGGTTAAAATGTGCAGTGCCTTCAGATCACAGTGACCCACCTGGAGAGCGACGAAGCAACCATCATAGGGTGCGACTAGGACCAGATCTCGTCGTGTCGAGCTGATGGTGTAACCGCAGCTCGAAGGTAACTTGGACAGGGGCAAAGGAGACAAATGGCTTCCTGGGGGAGACGTTCAGCAGGAGGAGGGTGTAAAAATCATTACATGGAACTACTACGCAGACCTTAACATAACTACTTACCCCTGTCCACGAAAAGCAGAGATCCAGGGGTAGAAGCAGCATCATGAACCTGAAGCGTCATGGAGTCTAGCGTACATTCAACCTTTGGTTCCATCTTAAGGAGTCGTTCCATTGCCTCCAGGTCGAGACCACGATATTGTCCATCTGGTTGTTTAGCTTCCTCCCAGGCTTTCAAAAGTAGGGTTTGAAATTAGTTTTAGAAGGTATGCAGTCGTTTACTAGAGGCCCTAAAACACTATGAACACAAAATCCTTTACAAGCATAAGAGACCAAATGTTGGATTTATTACTTTTAAAAGCCATGGCTCACTTTCAATTTTAACTTTACGTACCCACGTCTGCCTGGTAATCTGTTTCAACATCCCTGGTGTTGTTTGTGGTCTTGTTTCTGTTGGGTTTAGGACCTCGCAGCAGCTTTTGCCCAATTGAAAGTTTTCCATGATGCTGATGACCTTTAGCTCCACTTTGACTAAGCGTTGAGTTTCCACCTAGTTCATCCAGGGCTTTAAGCCTCGTCAGTGTTGCGCATTGACAAAGTGAAGCAGAAAACAAAAAGAGCCCAAAATACAGTGAGCCATTAACACCCCTGCTCTCTCTACACGCCATTGGAACAGAGGAAAAAGCACTGCCCCAGGACTGTACCACAAAAACTGATCAGTCCTCTTAGCATGTAGTGCTAAACCTGGTCTTAATTTTGACTAATCAAACACCTAACCACAGCAGCTGGTGCCAATGGCGCAGTTAAGAGCAGGAGGTAGTCTGTGGCTCTGACAAGACAACAAGATTTACAACAAGTTACCCTGCTGCCATTTTTCTAACAGAACTTTTTTGCTGCTCGGTTTTCCTTCGGCTGAATGATGCTATACAGATTATATTTTATGGTAATATAATTCTTCTACAGCTTGTTTAGTGGCCAATTTTCAGACTTTTTGTTGCTTCATTTTGTGTGAAACATCTTTGAAACTTTTTTAAAAGAAAAATTGAATAAAATCTCAAATCAAAACTCCACTGCAATAATAAATCACATATGGATTGTGTTGCTGTCCGTGTCTCCTTTATTCTGGTCAAAGTGTGGGTAGTGTGGGTTTGGTGGGCAAGCAGCAGCTGTACTAAACTCAATACTAAGCAGTCAAACACTGTTTAGAACCACAAATTTTACTGAAATCTAGCGCTCGTCCCGAGTTTCCAAATTTGAGTCCCACTCTGAGGAAATGTGCCTGATATGGTGCATATCTAAAATCTAGTGTGTTTCTCTAGTGTAGCAAAAACACATGCAGCTAGTTTTTATACAAGACAATGATGTCGTGAGACTTTTTTTTTTTGCCAGTGAGAAAATGAGTAAAGACATGACTGATTTTGTCTCAGAGATTTAGAGCTGTGTAGCCAGTTTATCCTTCCTGTCTAGCATGTTTTCTTTCCTTTGGTTTGATTAGGAACTGGTCTGAAAGTAAGACAGATTATCACCCAAATCCCATTTAGATCAACACTTTATTTTATTGTTTTAACCTTAAAAGTTTGTCCTTAGCTACTGAAAATACCAAAGCAGCCCGAGCAGATCAAAGCGATTTCCCTTTGATGGCAGCCTGCAATTTATTAAAACTCTGTAATTCCTACAGATTTTAGTCATTAAACACTTCAGCAAGTTTATTTCTGGGATTTGGCAAGACTCAAGTGCATTCTCCTATTAAAGAGTGGAATGTGATAATTCACACATTAAGTGTAGCAGTAGCGTTCTCCTGTTTGATCATAAGATCTAGGTCAATGTTTTCCCAATCAGAGTATGTACTGTTGCTAATTCAGTGTATCATTAGCACAATAAATTCAAACTGCCCCAGTTACAGCTATAATCACTAAAACTCCTGATTTACTCCATTAAACAAAGATTGAAGTGATGAGGCAACAGACTGGACATACTGGCTTTCCCTCTGGTTGGAATAATGTTTATTTGATCTGTCTGTAAACAAGACGTCTCATCGATGCATGGCATTTGAAACAGCAGATTTTGTGGCAGAAGGAAACTTCCCACTCAAAGAAAAGTGGACAAAATATTCCAAACTTTTTTCCCCCCCGTCGTTTAATTCTGTACATATTCCACAAAGTCTGGAGATTACTGATGCCAAAATATCCCTTAGGAAAAGTGCCATTAAAAGTTACTTCTTGCTGGGGCAGCAGTTTAAAAATCCAACTTGTGGTAGCAACAGATCATCAGATATTGATTTTTTTTTTTTTTTATGGCACAGAATACACAGTTATTCTCAGAAAAAAAAAATTCACAAGACAACTTACAAATGTTCTTATTCCAACCAACACCATTTTCAATATGTTTAGTGTACACAGCATCTTTTTTTTTTCTTTTAAATATACTTCTACGTACCGTACTATGACAATTTGTGAATACACCTTTGATGACTAAAGCACAAGGCAAATAATCCCAAGGCGCTGGAGCCCAGCAGCCTCAGTTTACAGTCAAAATGCATTCATACTGTAGTACAATGACATTTCAGTTTCATCGGTTAATGAACAAGAAGTTAGCGACAAATCAATTAGTGATGAGAAGTTTAAGTAGTGTTGAAGTCTAAAGAAGCAGTTACATGTTTTACAGTCATCTCAAGTAGTCGTCTTAATGATTTACAGTCAACAGGTGATGCCAACAATCATCCATCAGAATAAGCTGAAGGAGCTCTGATAACCCTTTTATATTGACAATTGGTCCAAAGGGAGGGAGACTTGTGGGGGAGAGGGGTGTGTATGCATGTAGTGATTTTACAGCAAAATTTACAGATAGCAGGAGATGACAGACGTCTCAGCTGGCACAGAGGTGGAATGTCTGCAGAGACTCCCGAAATATAGTGAAGTGAGACGACGACCTCAGTAATGGGTGACCTTACACAACAGCCCAACACCACATCGTTAACTTTTAAGACCACATTCAGGTACAACAGCAAAGAAAAGCATGTGATGGAGGGTTGAAGAAGTTGTGCGGCGAGGGCGGCGAATCGGTACACACATACAGGACTTTAGAGGAAGTTTGTCATTTCTTTAATGGAAGCAGATGAGAAGATGGTTTTGGCTGGAATACTGCGCTAGGACAGAGGAGGGAGCCGGGCTGGGATCCAAGTGTTACAGAGAGTATGCATGCAACTTTTAAATGCCAACATGCTGATTTTAAAAAAAAAAAAAAAAATTAAAAAAAATAACCCAGCATCTTTTAGTAATGCTCAAAAGAAGGGGAAAGAAAATGCGTAATTATGCACCTTCACCACCATCACATGTGTACTTCCTGTTCAAATACTAGCCACTTGCTGCAGTGAATGTTATACAAGGCGAGTCCAAATTTGTTGAACGCTTTTATTACACTTTGCGATCATATTTGATGCACACTTGTGGTTAACATTTCAATGAACATGCCATTACTGTAGTGTCAGAAACATCAGAAGTACAATGTTTAAGTGGGGAACATTAAAAAAAAATAAAAATAAATAAAGAGGGTGGTGTTGGGAGGGTTAAGCAAACAAAAGGTTGTGTATAAAAGTAGACTGGATAGGAAGTAACACTGTATGCCACCTAATCCTGGAAGTAGTGTCAACACAATACGGTGAGTGGTAGTGAGCTGCTAAGGTGACGAACGGGTGGAGAGGTTGCTTAATATCCAGACTTCCTCAGGTACTCAGCCATTGCATGTGCTTTCTTGTTAAGATTTCCACCATGGACCGCCTCCTTTCCCATGACTATAACCAATACTGGAGCACACAAGGAAAAAAAGAGAAATGAACAGAATTGAAGAGTCTCCCTCCCCCTACAGGATGGATGGGGGAGGGGGGAACAAAGGTGACACAGCATCTTACCACTCTTCATTGCTATTAAAAGTTTCCAAGACATTTGACTGCTTTCAGGAGAAATCTTAACAGCAATATTTCTTTTCTCTTCTTTATGTCCCTCAAATTTTAGCTAAGTGAGCTTGAAATCATTAAAACCCTGAATCCCTCAAGTATTTTGCCATTGAGTAAGCCTTCTTATTCAATCCGCCTCCATGGACCCCTTCTTTGCCCATTACAAGAACCAAAACTGGAAAAGAGAAGAGATAGAAAAGAGACAGTTAAGAAAAAGAGGTAAGAGAAAAGCAGTAAGAGTGTTTTCCCCACACACAGGTTCTACTTGGGCGGGCCGCTCAGGTATATTAACAGCTACCTAAATGTGCCTGATAAATGTTTTTGTTCAATTTTATTTTCCTCGTTGAGTCCGACGTCATCTCTGATCAAGTTAACACTAGAAAAATTTCTGCACTCTTATTTTGAAAGGTCAGTTGCTGATAACCAGCAAGCACTGACCATTTCCCTTCGCACGTTTTCTCTGCTGCAGCTTTCACCTGCTGCTCAGTGGATGTGCTTTTGAAGATCCACTGTGAGCTGGAGGTTCACACCTGCCAGAACCTGTAGCAGGTGGAGAACTGGTTTATGTGGCGCTACACCGAGCTCACTGAGGCTGCAGGGAATAATAAGGGCTACCAGCTACAGTCTAAAAACTATGGAGTCATAGTTCAACTGCAGTATGAGACTCACTGAAGATACAGCTGATGACATTGCTTAAAAAAAGAAAAAAAGAAAAACCCTTGGGTCAAAGTGCAGACCCAAGTTGCATAGAAAATGCTTATAATTTATTATTTAAGACAGCTCCTCCCACTTTTACACACACACTTATCTCCCGCCACAAGTGGAACACAAGTATGTGGGAAACACTTTTAGAAATGTGACATCTAAGGATATTCAACTGAAGTGCAGATTTATTATTAGCATTATTCATGTTGCTACTTGACACAATACAGCCTCTACACATGTCCTGTGTCACTGAACCATTGATTCAAATCTGCCAAATGCATTAACCATAATTTCTAGTTCTGTTAAAGACAAAACAGTTACGGATGAGTGAGCAGTTTCCTGCACAGCCCTCGTCTTCAGTGCACTTTTAAATATTGGTGTGTTTTGCACTGACAAACTGCAGGAAGACCAGTGCACTTGATTAGACCCATTTTCTCAGCTTCTGCTGACCTCTGCGTTTACCAACAAACCAGATGTGATTCATCAGTAATCGCGCAAGAGATTTAGGACAGAATCGCTCCTTTTTTGAGGGTCCTGGCTCTTTCTGCTAAAGAAAGATAATACCAAAAAAGAAAGACACTAATCAAGGTGCACTGTACCTTCCATACAGTTAAGACTGTAGCACCTCCATGCATGTGCTGTTGAATCAAATGTGCGCATTATTTCTTTGACTCCTCAAGTGAGGAACAACATGCAGAGAAGTAGAATAATAGGTGGAAATAGCTCGTGCTTAGGGAAAGAAGAAAAAACAAAAAAAAAAACAACACACAAAAAAAAAAAATACAACTTATAGCTGAGGACAAAACAGTAAATGAAAACAGAATCTGGTTTTCATTGCAACCAGTGTTTCTCACCTTAGCACCAGGTTAGTCATTTTTAAACAAATCATTTTCAAGTGAGAACTGATTTAAAAGTATTTAAATTTTTTGGATGTGTGCAATTAGATGACACACAACACAAAAAACCCCCGAAACCGTCAGATCACAAGAACTTTGGTGAGAAACACTGAACAATACCAGAAACCAAGGACCACAAAGGCAAATTGAAAGAAGCGGGGATATCGTGGCTTATAAAGCTGTACTAATCTTGTAATAAATGCAAACACTAGAGTAACCGTAACTTGAGTCAAAGATGCTAAAACCATGTGTTTGAGGCCTACAAAAGATTTAAATCATCAAAATAACACAATTTTCTGCCAACACAAAACTTGTTTCTTCACTAATGTTAAACTATTTCAGTAGTTTTGGCCATCCTGTATCATTTGACCTTTATATTCTTAATTAGTCATTTGTTCTATAAACTATTAATGAAATATTGGGAAAAATATAACTTTGTGCATCCTGTAGATCTTATTCTGGCTCAGGTGTGGATTACAACCATAGCCATGAGATAAGGAAGTGATGTCATGCCGCAAGAGAATGAGCCTGACAAATCTAATTTAAGACATTGCTCATACCCATGTGTTTATGGGAAACAGTAGTGTCTTAGCCTAAGTATGCATTCTGATAGCTGTAAAAAGCTAACCCATAAGATGCCTTTACCTTTGCCGGCTCTTCCCACAGAGATATTGTATGTAGGTTCTCCTCCTTGGCTCTTTGTCCTGATATCCATTGTCCAGTCGCCCTCATCCTGGAGGCTGTCTCTGAGGACTGAACACTTCTTTGAGCCCAGAGTGAGACCGCTGGTATAAAAGGTCTCCCTGTCCTTACCGATAAGGACGTCTATTTCCTGAGACTGAGGAGAGAGAGAGAGAGAGGGGCAAACAAAAAAAGACACACAAAGCAACAGGATTGAGGCGATATTAGTCACATGCCCAAGACGTAGATGTGGTTCCAGTTACATGGCAAGCATAATCCCATTTCAAATAACACAGTATTATTAGGTAGATCAACTTTAATGCATGACTTCTATGCACACATGAATTCCACACAATAATAATTGAGGGCCATTTTAAAAGAATTGCACATGTCTTAACTTTTGGGGATTCATTTCCATCCTTGTAAACACTGTTTTATAATGATTCTTTTGTGAGAATTTGGTGATTTTTTTGCAAAGACATATTCCAATTCTGTTCTGGGTGTCAGACAAAATGATAGAGGCCCCAATTATCTAATATTTTAAAAAGGCACAGAGAAAAACAAAAGGTATATTATTAATAGTAGCATTCTGGCACCGGTCACGTGTGACAAAACAGCGGCATTAGGAATTACAGACTAGCATCAAGGGAAAGGACCGCGTTGGAACCCATTCTCTGGATCCTAACACGCCCTGTCCCCAAACCAGGCGATAATATGATCGGGATCCTCTGCCTGCAGGGACTAGCGGAAGTAAAGCGGCGTCTATGCACCGGTCTACCGCTCAAGCAACCCCAATGAATGAACTGAAAACGCTCATTCCCTATTAAAAGACGAGCATTTATAATTGCACTCGTTTCTTGCTCGCACTGATAACAGTGCGGGTTTACCCCAGGCTGAACCAAACACCACACATTAGCTTTTAAAAGCACCCGGAGCCGGTAAAGCAGCAGCTTAAAGTTAGCTAATCAAAGCAAGCGTGCACACAAAAGCATGCACGCTCCCTTCAATCAGACACCGTCTACTCACTGGTCTTAAATTAGCTAAGTGTTGTTTTACCCGGGTTCCCTCACCCCTTTATTTTGATTATTACAAGAGAGGACGCCATAATCATCTATTTGTGTGTGAAAGCCATTATACGAGAAGCCTTCTCTGAACCACATGAGGTCTAATCCCAACGTTTCCTTAGCTAGAAAAAGCCGACACAGGCCACTGATGAGCTAGCCAGCTAGCCCATAAGCTAGCTCGGCACCGTTAGCTCGTTAGTCGCTTCGATCCTGCGAGGTAACGGTTTCTGCGCTCCTCGGGCTGGTGAACGTCTGCGTGACAGATAACATTACTGCCAAACGAAACCACACTCTCACACCCCCAAACGAGCTCGTTTTGACTTCTTACCGTGATATTGTTGAATGTACCACCGGCATGTGCTGCCCAAACATATTTGGCGTCCATATAACCAACAATGGCGCTATCCTGACAGCTGCCATCGGCCATCAGGTTTTCCACGTAGCTTTGCCAAGACATTTTCAAGAAACTGATGATATAAATATATTTAATTTAAAAAACTACACCTATTTTTTAGTGTTGTCGCCAAATAAGAGGCAAGACAGAATGAAAGAAAGCCCGCAGACTAATTTAGAGTCTCCAATCTAACCCACACTTCGACGTTGAGCAACGCGAAGGCTGGGGCAGCAAAGAAAGCCAGGGCAGTGAGGCAGCGGCTGGGTGTAGTCCGTATCAGATCACTCCGCACAATGAGCTCCCTGGCGCTTTTATGGCAGCAGGCGGCGGAATAAAGAGGGACTTATCAGCTCAGCCAACAGTCAAGTCTGAGGGAATGCCGGGGTGGAGATTTACTGATTCTTCCATTAACTTCAAGTGTTTTCATGTTGTATGGATGACATGACAAAGAGCGTCAGACCAGACACCGTGTGGGCTTTTACCCGCAGTACACAAAAACAACACGCACTGAGATGCACGTGTCTGATGGATTTCGCGATTATTTTCTCACCTAACGATCCTTCATATTATTGCTACTTAAAATCTGCATTCACCGGCCACTTTGTTAGGTACACCTGTTCATCTGCAAGTAATTGCAAGTATCTTATCAGCCAATCACATAGCAGCAACTCAATGCATTGTAAATATGGTCGAGACGACATGCTGAAATTCAAACCGAGCATCAGAATGATGAAGAAAGGTGATTTAAGTGACTTTGAACGTGGCGTGGTTGTTTGTCTCTGTATTTCAGGAAAAAAAATATCGGGGTTTGGGTTAGGGAGCCCCTGTGGGTGAAAATGCCTTGTTGATTTCAAAGGTCGGAGGATAATGGCTAGACTGCTTTGAGGTGATAGAAAGGGAATAATAACCCAAAAAGGCCATTCATTATGTTCATTATTCATAATTCATTATATTCTGAACACACAACACTTTGACCTTGAAGCAGATGGGCTACAGCAGCAGCCAAAGGGTGCCACTTCTGTCAGCTAAGAACAGGAAACTGAGGCTCCAGTCAACAAGATACTGGAAAATGTTTCCTGGTGAGTCTCAGTTTCTGCTCCAACATTCTGATGTAGGGTTAAAAAAAACAAAAAACAAGAAAGCATGGCTCCATCCTGCATCGTATCAATGGTTCAGACTAGTAGTGGTGGTGTAATGGTGAGGGGGATGTTTTCTAGGCACACTTTAGGTCCCTTAGTACCAACTGTGCATCGTTTAAACACCACAGCCTACCTGTTGTTGAATGTGTCCATCCTTTTTTGACTACAGTGCATTCATCTTCTGGTTGCTTCCAAGAAAGATCATCTCAAATTGCTTACTTGAACATACTAAGTTCACTGTACTCAAATAATCCCCACATCACCAGATCTTAGTCAAATCAAGCACCTTTGGATGTGCTCATGAACGTGCAGCCAACAAATCTGCAGTAACTGTGTGATGCTGTCATGTCAATAGGGGCCAAAATCTCCCAGGAATTGTTTTAAACACCCTATTGAATCCAAGGGATGAAGAATTAAGGCAGATCGGAAGGCAAAAAGGAAGTCTGACCTGATACTAGCAAGTGATGACTACTGAGAGATATAAACCAGTCTCCCCTAAGAAATCTGATTATCTGAGATAAGCAACCCGTATATTTATTATCTGTGTTCTGCTTGGGGTCCTGGAGACAAACTCAGAAGCCCAAGACTGCTTACCATTATCTTATCAGCTTGGAACTTTTCATGACATGATTTTAGATTCTTTTATGTGATTAATATAAAAAATGTGCTCAGATTCTAGCTAACACAAATATATGGAAAATTAGAATTATGTTTGGGAATTACAGTGGAACGCCTTTTGCTCATACTTATATACATTACCACATCTATTTGATCAAATATGCTGTACCAGTTGGACAAATCATTGCACTCGCTTTAAAAAGGTTCAGGATTGTGAGATTAGTACTGTTTTTACTTACACTATTAGAAGCATAGCTTTGTTTGTCTCAGACTAAAAAAAAGACAATTTCTGCATTTAAAATATGCTTTTTCTTTAAAAACAAAAGTCATCATTCTTGACTACTTAAACATTAGATGATGCTCATACTGCCTTGTTTGCCTTGTCATCCTAACAGCAGCATGAATGTCACATTAACAAGTATTTAACCTTACATCCTTTTCACTGCGTCTAAATGTTTTTAAACAAGATCAACAAAACAAATAAATGTGATTATTCTACAGTCCATTGTAAAAGTGATGACCAGTAGTTCACTATGTCCATTTCAGACACCCCATCCTCCCCCTTCTTATCAAAATCAGGCCCAGATCGTTCCACTTGGTATATAAGTCACTGTGTTGGAGACAGTGCAAGCTAAACCTAATCTTTTCTATTTTGGACCCAGTTAAACAGTTTTAATCACAGACATGTACACTGTTTGAAACTGCAGGTTTTTTTTTTAATCACACCACTGTTATTATTATAGCGGACGTAAAACAACCATTACTTGATATAAGCTAAATGAAACGGTGAAGGGTTCAAGGTTCACCCAAAATCACCAAAAAAGGAAAGGGAAGGACCTCTTTGAATTCAAAACTCATTCTTGGCCACCGGGGGCAGTGTTCTCTATGATTTGGGAAGCCTCGTGGTCTGTGAGAAAAAACATGTTTCGCTGGTTTCAGAGCACGTCTTTTTCCTTTCGGTGCTTTTGAGAGATATCCTGTAAAGTTCCTGTAAAATTGAAACAGGAAGCATTCTGGTTAATTCTTAATTAGATAGTTTCTATTTTTTTTATTTGCTCATATATGTTACAAGTATGCATATTTTGTCGTATTGCTCCATAACACATTTAAACAGAATACTGGGTGGATTTAGTTTGTTATTGTAGCTGATCATCAAATAAGGCATTTTATACCTCATGCTACCTGATATAATAGCCCAGTAACAGCTAATTAAGGCAAGGTATAACTAAAAAAGAAAGAAAGAAAGAAAGAAACTTTACAGTGATAAGAAAAGAGTATTTTGCTCTGAGGGGCAGGCGGTAGCAAACAAGCAAGAGTGTTTGGGAGTGTTTTATCAAGACATCCATCTATTGTGATTTATATAACTCTGACTAATCGCATAATCAGTTAGACTGATAATGAGGAAATTATGAGCTAATGACGTTTCACAGTTTTCCAAGGTCCAAAGTAATCGGTCAAATAGATCCGTTGTCTGAATAGTGACAAATAGAATATAAAAAGTTAAATAGTCATTAGAGTAGCACTACCCCGAAAACAATTTCAGGGTAGTGCTACTCTAATGAGTAGTCTAAAAACAAATGTCTAAAACATTTCTTTTTACTCTTTCTGTGCGTGCAGTTGTGAACGTATTTGTTTTTGTTTTTTTCCGAAGGCCCGTGAAGGCATCATTAGGATGGATTCTCAAAAGCCTGGTACGTAAACGTCTTTTGCGCTCACTACATACCCACGATGCAGCGCGGTCGCACACAACATAGCCATCTTGTCAGGAGTGACTGAGTGAGGGAGGCAACTGTAGACGCTGTTTAGAATATCATTTGTTTTTTTTTTATTAACGCGTCATATTTAAGAGCCCCTTTCTCCCTCAACCGTAGTCAGCGACGGAGTGAGTGTCGACAACGAATGACTTTGAGCTGGTGAAGCGAGAGGCTACGCAGCGCCGCTTTCAGAAGGATGTCTCACATACTTGTTCCGACGTAGGGGGAGTGTGCAGCAGCCAGTTGGCTTGAATTGTTAGCTAGCTCAGTGAGTGGAGGGCTACGGGCCCTCCTCAGCTTAAAGTAGCCCCTACAGCTGGGCAGCCCACTCTGCGACAACGGCCGCTCGACAACTGGACAACCGGGACATTAGCGGGCCGAAAGCCGCGGATCGGTCACCGCACGGGCTGTTGGTAATCGTGTCTGAAGCCCTGCTGCTGGACAAGACGACACGAAGTGTGGCATTGCGTTATGAGCTCTTGAAACGCAACAGGAGTCCGAGAGAGGAAGAGGATGGCGCAGATACATCTTGATTACAGTTAGGTAGGCTAAAAAGAAAACTAGCTCCAGGTCTGCTGCTTATTATGCTCTAAGCTTTTAAAAGCTGCAGCCAGCTCGCCCCTTTTTGACTGAGGATAAACATAGCCATACGGGACTTGGATTCAGGCTGTCAATATGTCGAAAATGCCGGCCAAGAAAAAGAGCTGCTTTCAGATCACAAGTGTGACTCAGGCCCAGGTGGCGGCTGTAGGTGCCGCCGACGACACGGAGAGTCTGGACGATCCAGACGAGTCACGGACTGAGGACGTGTCGTCGGAAATCTACGACATGCCACGGGCTGATTATGAGCCTGCGTGTGACATAAGTTCATCCGAAGAAGCTCTGAATAATGTTGTGGAGCCAGAGGCGGTCGGAGTGATGCCACCATCAAGCGTACCTCATGCCAGTCAGCTGTCAGCGCTGTCAAGCAACCCCTCTGGGGATTTCAGAAAAGTGGGAGTGTCTGGTTCGAGTCAAGGTGGTCAGCAAGCACCGGGGATTGGCGCTGGGGCTGGTTTACCCCTTATCACTCAGGCTGGGCCAGTGCAGCAGCAGCAGCCTGCTTCTGCAGCCAGCGCTGGGCCAGCGAGTGCGTCAGTGAACACATCCCAACCTGCTGCAGTGCCCAGTTCAGCTCCACCTCCTGCCACCTCCACGGTGAGTTGCTCCTCGCGGTTCAGGGTCATTAAACTTGATCATGGTACTGGAGAACCGTTTCGGCGAGGCAGGTGGACGTGCACGGAGTTTTATGAGAAGGACTCTGAGAGCTCTGTTGTTGGTCGGACTGTGGATAGCATGAGACATGCCAACACAGCACTGGACCCTGCTGCAGACAGAGACAGTGGGCTCGGGCTTACAGGAGGATCTGCCGCAACCTCAACAACGCCCTCGAGTCATGGCTTGGGCTCCATGGCGGACTCTTCTCTCTCTTCTAGTCGTGTGCACTCGGTGGAGGCGCAGCCACCGCAGCAGCAAATCCACCATCAAAACTACAGCGCCCGCCAACAAGGTGTGAGTGGGTCGGTCACGCACAGTTCTTTCTCCAGGCCTACGGCTGTTCCGGCTCAGCCAGCAGTGGCAGGTCTGCAGCCTCTTGTTCCACAGAACCTGCTGCCTGTCGAGCAAAACGGCCCACCTCAATCCGGTGTCCTCATACAGAAGTCTCCCATCATGCCTCTCTCTGTCCAACCAAGTCCTTACCCTCCTCAGCAGCAGCAGCAGCAACAACAGCTTCCTGTGGGCCAGCACCTGGCCGGCCAATCACCTGGACTGATGCAGAACCAGGCAGAGTACTATCAGCAGCACCACTCTGCACCCCTGCCACCAGGGCTTGCCTCAGGCCAGCCCCACCCAGTGTCCAGCCAGGGACAAGGACCCACTTCGGTGATGCCTACAGCCTCTGGAGGGGCATCTGTGCCAAGTCAGGTTGTAGATGTTCTTGGAGCAGCAGTAGGAGGAGTACTTCTACCTGCTGGACAGCCAGCTCCAACTGTCTTGCAGCAGCAGACTGTAGGGATGGGAGCTGCTGGAGGCCCCGTAT